ATAAATAAACACCCATACAAGGAGAGATGTCTGAGAACTTTTGGTGGTTGCAACACTTGGCATTTGAATGCATTTTTTTTTTTCAAAATCAAGGGTAGTAGGGAGACCCAGTTCTTGACTCCTGGTGTTCATTCAATATCTCATATGTTATGGCTCTTTTATTTCTCTGTGTTGTTTCTCATTGTGAATTTCTAAAAAATTATAAAACATTTTATTTTTATTTTGAAACAGATTAAGATGTTAAGGGAGCTGGATCCTGATCTAGGTCAGTTGGTATTTGATTGTACCAAGGTAAGTAGTAAAAAGTAAAAAATAACCGGGTACTTTTTGTTCATACTTTCAATATATATATATATATTTAGGTGAAGATTGTGACATTTCAGCTACATTACTGCTAGCCTTGGTCTGGCCATAAAGCTGAATAATTATTTAACCAGTATTCCACAAGGGGGTCACAGTTGGATATGAAATTAAATAGCTAACGTGGAGCATAGCTCTAAGTTGGCTATGACCAATTTTGTAAACAACAAGAGCAAATGAAAAAATTGTTTTATTGAATTTTGTTAACTCCTATACATTTGGTTATTTGAAGCAATTTTACAGCTTCACAACAGTTGGTATAATGTACTTCCATGTAAGGTGACTGCATGGGAATATGAGCTGATAACTGGAGTTGGGTGATTCAATCAGAGCACTAAAAATACAATATTTGGAGTTGAGAATTTAATAATTGAATAACAGCAGCTAACTATTGCACTATATTAATAGCACCATGTAATCAGTAAATTACCTTGTCATCTTTCACAGACTGTTCTTTTCACTTGCTTGTCAGTATTTCTCCATTTTGTTCTTGTTTTTAATTGTTTGCTTAGGTACTGTAATTCAGAAAGGAATCAAAGAGTTTGCTGACATTTCACTGCCATTGTTGTCTTCATAGGAGAACCCAAAGGAGCGACCAACTGCCTGTGAATTACTGCAGCTGCCAGTCATTCAGAAGTATGCTTCCAGTGTCCATGGGGGACTTAGGTAAACTTGCTGTCCGTGGCATCAATCCTTACTTCTTTTATGGTTATGTTTATCCCATTTAGTAAAACAATCAAAAGTGGAGGCATTTGCAGGTCTAATGCATATATTTTTTATATTCATATGCAGGTCACCTGATTTACCTTTGAACAACAATGATGACTTGTACACTTAGACATCACAATGAGGAATTTTGTTCCCTTTTTCAAACATCATCCCATAGTTGCAATGGAGTGAAGCATTTCACAATCACGTTTAATACAAATAACAGGATAATGGATTTTCAGACCATTTAAAATGTAGTTATTGTTAAAGAGAGGAGCATGGCACATCATATGAATCAAGACAGATGATGTTCTAGAGGTTGAAAGTTACTTAAAAGGAAATTCCTTTTAGTGTATTACACAATATATTTGTGGTATTAGGATTAATATTTTTATCAAGCATAATAGTGTAGTATTAGGATTAATATTTTTATCAAGCATAATTGCTTTAAAAGAAGCCTTAAGTGGAAGTGCACTCTGATCTGACTGATATTCTAACTCATCCCATCTAGAGTTTAACTCAACAGTTGAACATTAGAGAACAAATCAAACCCATGAGATCAACAATGATGTTAAGACATAACAGCAATGTGTGGATAAGATACCAAAAGCCATCAACATATAAGGATTTTCTCTTTGCACCTCCTGATTTTAAGTATCTTGTTTTGTAGATTGGTCAATTCCTGTTTTAATATTAGAATGGAAATGGATCTTTGTTTAGGAAAGAGGAAATTAGGATGTTGCTTAGTAATCATCTTTGGAAATACTGATTTGTTAGTTTGTGATTAAAAGTGTGAAGTGCTATGAAATGGTGTGACTGGTGTGATTCTTAGGTGAGATATTTATTCTAAAACTTTTCTACCATGGTTAAGAAATTGAGAATAGGCCATTTTACAGTTGTGTACTTAGTTGCCAAGCCTCTGATTCAGATTGAGGCTGAAGGTGACCTTGTTGTGATAGAGACCTGTATCTGCTTCGCATGATTATAAACAAAGTGATTTACATTTGAAAGGCAGCAAGGTTTGTATCATAACAAGGTCAACCCTAGCCTCACTCCCATTCAATGGCTTGGCAACCAAGCACACAACTGTAAAATGGACTATTGAACATAATTTAGCAGTGAGATGAAATAAGGATGGATTTGTCCATCTAAGGGAACAGAAATGTAATGGGGACACTGCAATGAAAAAACCTTTAACTGAGTATTATTTTTGGTAACCAAGACTACCACAGAATCATGCTGTTGGAATTTGATGCAATCGTTGGCTGATTTATACAAAATATTAGTTTGCTTTTTCGTCCAAAGGGAATGGGGAGGTGGTACAAAGTCTTTTATTGTGGGTTTTGGCAAAAAAATGGATGTGTTAAATGAATTGTGCAAAACAGATGTTCATTCACCTACACACAGACATAGCAGATATTTACAAATGCAAAACAGCTACAGTCAAAGTACCTTGAATTCTCTTCCACCAATATTTATTTCAAAACTACTTGTACTTCTGAAAGGTAATGTAGTTTTCCTTGATGCTTGTAGCTTGCAGTAATTCTTCTATTTTCTAAAATATTTCACCAGATCCATGTGGAAGGTAAGGCATCTCCAATTGGTTACCAGGTGAGGGGAAGGTTTTAGGAAGCAAATCAAAATAAAAGCAGTGCTTTGATGAATTCCATGGAATTGGTAAACCTGGTTAGAATTTCCCGTAACATTAAGGCATCCTTGAACTGTCACTCTGTATTGCTGAGAAAAGGCTGCCCTTAAGCCTTAATACCCTAGGAGTGATAAACATATCATTTCTCCTTACCATAAAACTACCAAATCATTCAGATCACTGAAATCACTCACTAAAATCATGAGAGGAAAAGGAATGTTTGCCAACCCAAGGAGCTTCAATTCTCCTTGTCAGTATGTTAAGAAATGTCTAGAGAACAGTATAGAGAATATATACTCTGATGCTTCAAATGATTCCTTTTCTATCATATCAATAAAGTACCGTATTTCTTCACCTATAAGCCGATCTCGGCTATAAGCCGAGACCCTGACTTTCAGGGTCTTTACGCTACACTCAAGCTGCCCAAAAAAAAAGGTAAAACCATCGGCTATAAGCCGAGAGCGAAATTATTGATTGTAACTGGCCATTTGAGCAAGCGAACCTCACGGAAAACATAAGAAATTGACTCACTAAACACAAAACCTAATGAATTACAATAAACACAAAAGAAAAAAAGCGAACCAATCAAGAGATATGAATATCAATTGATCCAACGAACTGTATAAATACTACCACGCGACAACAGATTAACCACAACAACAATAATAATCTCAGTTAAACGTTTCAAAGTATCAATCTATCGAGTATACCTTTCGTCGCTGTCACTTTTTATCATCATGCCTAAAGCACGCCGTTCCTCGTATAGTATGGCTTTCAAGATAAAAGTTATCGCGGAAGCTGAAGCGGTAGAAAACAACTCGGAAATCGCTCGAGAATATGGACTAAGCGAGTCCATGGTACGACGCTGGAGAAGAGACCAGGCGACTATTCTTTCCGGAGAGCTGAAGATGTCTGCAAAACGTGCGACGATGGGCCGTTTCACTCCGAAATATCCCGAACTAGACCAGCAAGTGATGGAGTGGTTTTCACAGCAAAGAGAACAAGGTTGGTATTTACTTTTCTGTCTAAAATTTTAAGAGTTTTTGAAGAGTTGAATGATATCGTCTTTCAGTGCGTGGGAAACAGAGACTTTGATTGGTCAGAAATATGTTGTTGTCATGACAATTTCATAACATGTCACGAAAAGAGTGCTGCAGTCACGAATCTACGGTTATCTCGCAGCAAAATAAGATTGTTATTTTATTTTTCGTAGGTATTGCGGTGAGTGGATTGATCCTTCGCCTTAAAGCTAAAGAGCTCTCCGATGATCCTGCTTTCAAAGCTTCCCGTGGATGGTACGAGAAATGGAAACGACGCCACTCGGTCAGCATGCGAACCAAAACAACTCTGGCCCAGCGATTGCCCGCCGATCTCGAAGAGAACATTGTGTGCTTTCATCGCTTCGTCATTGCAGCAAGAAGACGCGCCGACTACCCTTTATCCCGCATCTACAACATGGATGAGACACCCATGCGTTTTGAGCTGCCATCGAACCGAACACTGGAATTCAGTGGAAGCCGAACAGTGCCAGTAAAATCTTGCGGAGCGGAAAAGCGGAGCTTCACCGTCGTTCTTGCTGTTGCTGCCGATGGAGCAAAGGTGCCACCGAAAGTCATCTTCAAAGGCGTCCGTACACCGAGAGATCTGGTTGTGCCGCATCCTCTTCGTGTTTCCTTCCATAAGAAAGGGTGGATGGATGAACAGGGCATCCGAGAATGGATTCGACAGAGTTTGCCCCGTGCCGAGCGTTCCCTTTTGGTGTGGGACTCATTCCGAGCTCACTTGACCGATTCCGTGAAAGATGACCTGAAGCAGCGAAACATTGACGTCGCAGTTATCCCTGGTGGCCTAACCCCGGTTGTACAGCCCTTGGATAAGTGCCTAAACAAGCCATTTAAAGATAATGTGCGCCGAAAGTACTTGGCGTGGATGACATCTGGGCCATTTGAGTTTACCCCAGCTGGGAAGAAGAAGGCGCCAAGCAGAAATCTTGTCCTCAGGTGGATCAAGGAAGCATGGGCAGAGATACCCGAAGAGATGGTTGTCAAATCCTTCAAGACCTGCGGTATTTCCAATGCCTTGGACGGAACAGAGGACGACGTGGTCTACTCTGAGGAAACCCCAGAAGTAGATGATGAATACATAGAAGAGAACGAGTTCGACACAGACAGCGAAAACGAAACGGATGGCGAGTAAACCATTGGGTTGAAAGCCCTTGCACGTATCCGTCAAACGGCTCCTTTAGGAGCCACCAATTTCATAAAAGTGAATAACCAATATTCAGAAGTTATTTTTGTTGTGTTTTATTACTTCTGCTTCATTGCTAACTTGACTACAAGCCGGGGGGGTAAAGTTATTCAGCAACTGTATATTTTTAAAATGTAAAACCCTCGGCTATAAGCCGAACCCCGTTCTCCGTGAAAAATCTCCCAAAATTTTGGGTCGAAAACTGAAAAAATCGCTCGGCTTATAGGTGAAGAAATACGGTAGCATAACTTGGGTTTTCTTTGACTACCTTGTGGCTTTGGAACACCATGTCCTTTAATTTCATGGGTTGGATGTCTTTCTTGCTAGTATTATTCCACACACATGCCTTATCTGTGCAGGAAGGATCTGTGAAACCTTTCTGGTTGGCAAACTCAACTTTATATAAAAGGGCTATGACATGATTACAGCACTGACTGTATCCAGCTGTACAGCTACAATATGCCCCAAGAATTTCACCGGGAGATTTACAAATTATCCACACTTTATGAGGTTCTTCGCGAATTCTTTGAGATGGAGTGACAGATGCAAACAACAGAACTTTGTCTTGTCCATGAATTGTTTTTGAGTATACAGTGTGCACAAAACCACTTTTAAAGTATGAATACGCTTTTCTGATTTTATATTGACCAATATAGTCAGTGTCGAAAGCTTTTTTTCCAAGTATAAACGAGAATATTTGACCAATGTTTGTATGCGGCCACTTTGTTACACAGTCCTCCCAATCGACCATGGATAACGGATCCTTTATACCGCATGTGCGTAGTAGTTCTACATGTTCATTTTGTAGTGACTTGGCTTGGCTTTCGGCCGAATCTCGAATAGGCGTTTTATGTTCAAAAGCTACCAAAGCACGAGCAGCAAGATCCGAGTGTGTCCCTCCAGAGGGCAAACCTCGCTGTTTAAGATAAAACTGCAATTCCCCACATGAAAGTTCCAAAAAATCTTCGAGGTGCGTGGCCATGATCGTGTTGTTGGGATATTGAACTGTCAACGACTTTTGAGCGAGATGGCAATAACATAAAGAGCTCAAAATGTAGCTGTGACTTCTATATTGAACTATAAGTATTCAGATCGAGCAAAAGAGTGTTGTTCGTATCCGCCATTTTGGATTTGCTTGCCCTAATTACCCAGCATGCACTCAAGAGCGTGAACCGGTCTATA